CACACACACACACACAGGCCCCTGGCCTTGGAAGAGTTGATGCATTCCAGGGTTCCATACTTCTCCCTCCCTTCCTGGCTCTGCTCTCTGGAGTCTGGCAAATGAGGGGTATGTTCAGAAGATCCTAGGCCTAAGTTCCCTATCCAGGTCCTGGCTTGACCATCCTCCTTCCTGGCTCCAAGTCCCAGGCAGTAGCAGCTGTTTTCCATCCCTGCCCAGACAAGCTCTATTTTTACCACCGTGACCTTTAGTGAGGTCTCCCAGGCCAGCTCAAGGTGCCCCGCTCCTCTGGAGAGAAAAGGCAGGAAGATTCCTCCTCCCAGATCTCTCTTATAGTTTTCTCCCTCCCAGCTCAAACTGCCCAGGGCATCTTAACTGCAGCCCAAGAAGAGAGCTCTACCGCAATGATTTCCCCCAGGCCCAGGACTTGGGCCTCTAGAAATGCTATAGGTGCCTCCAACCCATCTATCCCTTCTAGGCCCTTTCATGGCAGCCCTTTCAAAGCTGAGCCCTTTCAGAGTTGACATGGAGCTCTCTGCTAGCCTGTGGCTTTACCTGATGGCCCTGAGTTTGAGGTTGACCACATGGAAAGAGGGAAGCAAAGATTTCCTTGTTATAGGATGTACGCAAGCAGTGGCCAGATGCACAGAAGAAATTCTAGTAGAAAATGGATTGGCTCAGATGACCTGAGGGCTCTTCCAGTCCTGAAATGCATTCCACAGTATTAGGAAGGGAAGGAGAGTACTAGTGGAGAATTGGATGGGCAGAATTCAGGGGCAGGTGAGCTTGGGTGGGTGAGTGAGAAGTTAGACCAGAGCCAACCTATGTTTCTGGTTTCTTAGGAAGCACCCACTCTTCAGTTCCAGGCCCCAGCATCCATATCATACCCAGATGAGTAGGCACTATTCTATCTCTTTCCCATTGCACTCTGGCCTAGCTAATACCCAGTACCCAGTGACCTTGGGGAGCCTGGCAGCAGACTCTAGCATGTCCCTTAAATCCTGGTGGCTCTGACTCCAATCCCCAGAGGGACATGGGAAGGAATTGGCTAAGTTCCACAGTTTCCAGAGTTGGCTGTGATGCCCTCTAGAAGTTCAGAATATTTACTTTAGGATATTAAGTGCGGGGGTGCAGGTGGGGGTGGTGGTGTTAGAACTGGCTGAAGATCAGAGGTGTGTAGGTGAAAGGATACCAGGATGTTGCTAAAGATGAAGGATAGAGTGTGATTTTGGGTTGGGGTAGACTTACCCTAACCCAAACTCACTTGTTAGACCTGGAACCCTTAAGTGAAGCTAGGAGAAGCTGGGGATCAGGATGTGACTGGGGTGCTTTGGAATAAAGAAGTGATCCCAGAGGGTTCCTAGGGTATAAGGATTGGGAACACGGGCTCTGTTGGTGGGAAGATGAGGGGGTCAATGATGAGTGACCACATTTACCAAAGTCCTCACCTGCTTCAGGGTCCCTTGTAACATAGAAGCCAAACTAAGGCCTGTTTCAAAGAAGAGACATTATTAGGCCACTGGCTGAGACAGTGGCATAGAACAGCTACTTCTACCTGCATTTACACAAAGAGCCAGCAGGAGGCAGCCTTGGAAAGCTGCAGTTCTGTCTGGCTATTCCCTTGCTTCACTGCCTTCTCCCTATCTTCTCCTCTAACCCACTAGAGATTGCCTGTGTCCTGTCTCTTGTCTCCTATAGAATTCAGCTCTGGCCCTAAATAAATGCTTCCTGAATCCTTTTGCCTCCTGGGTCATTTTCGGCTGTGTCTAAAGCCCTTCCTTTCTCCCCAACCACGGGACAGTCCATTGGACTTAGGGTGGATGAGAATGTTTGATACACATGGGATGGGAGCTTGAGAAGTAGCAACCATGAGGAGAGATAGGGAACAACATAAAAACTCCAGGCCATAGAGATGTCACTGAGTTGAAGTCCTGGTTCTATCGTCTACTAGCTAGGTGACCCAGGGTAAACCCACTCCTTTTCTCTTTAGGCCTCAGCTTCCCTATCTGTGTAATGAGTGAGCTGGGCTAGCTGATGTCTCAGGGTGGTATTGCCCAGGCCCTGACCACAAGACACTGCCACTGGAGTGTGCAGGGCCAAGCTGGGGCAGGGCTCAGTGCTCTGGGCTGCTTCCTCAGAAGCAGGTCAGAGCTCCAGGCAAGAGCAGGAGGTAATGTTCAAGTCCAGACAATCCTAGTGAGAGCAGGACAAACCATTAGGAGTGCTCCTCTCCTGATGGGGGCATCCTTTGCCCGAAGAAGGGAACTGTGGCCCCGCTCCCAGGTGAGGCCATGCCTGCCCTAGGAACATTCCTCACCTTCCTATCTGGACGCTCAGGCCCTGCAGAGGCTGAGCAGAGGAACCCAAGTGGAAGGAAGCTGCACCCAGGCCGTCCACAGCAAAGTCCAGGCTCTTCCTAAGGTTGTCAGAAATACGTCCTTAGACAGTGTCTGTCACACAGGTACAGATCTCCCTGCCCAGACCCTGTACATCCTTGCTGCTCCCACCCTTCCATGGGAGTAGTTGGTATGCCTCTCCCCCAATCTTTATTTTTAGCTGGAACCTTCCCTGAATGCAGTATCCCCCCTGCCCAATCTGCTCCTCCTGTTACCTTCCTTAGTCACCTAAGCCAGACACCGGAGTGGCCCTCTCCTCAACTCCCACATTCAATCTCTCACAAGGACCTAGTGATTCCCCAAATACCCCTCAAATCCCTCTCCTCCTATGGATGCCCTCTGTCACTGCCCATTAAGCCACCCCATCCCTCCCCTGACCATAGTGAAGGCCTGCCTCCAGTATGACCCCTTCCCCGCCCCCCCCACCCCCCATTTTCCATATGGCAGCCAGAGATATCTTTGGAAAAATGCCAATCTGACCACTCCATCCCACCACTTTAAACTCTTCACGGCTCTTTATAAAGCACACTTGCCTTTTGAAAAGCTTGCTGTGATCTGGCCCCTGCCCACCTGTCTGGCCTCATCTCTCAGCACTGCCCCACCCCCCAGTTCTGGCTCTACTTGCCGACCTCCTACCATCTTTATACATGACCCGGCCTCTGCCTGCAATTCCTGTGTCCTCTCTCTGCCCAGTGAACTCCCACTCAGCCTTCAAGGCCCAGCTCAAATGTCTCTTCCTCTGGGAAGCCTTCCCCACCCCCAGGCTGAGCTGATGGCACCCTCCCCTGGGTCCTCCCAGAGCATTTCCCATGATGCGTCTCAAAGGCTTATTTACGGGCCTGACTTGGGCCTGGCTGAGCTCCTTGAGCACGGAGTCCTGCCTTATTTATTTACAGTCCATAGAGGCTCAGAGAATGTGAGAAGGTGGAGGGAGAGAAGAAGGAAGGAGGCAGAAAGAAGAGAAGGCAGGAAAGAAAGAATAAGTCAAACAAAGATACTGAAGGACAATTCATCCATCCACCCATCCATCTACCTATCCATCCATCCATCCATCCTTCCATCCAACAAATATCTATGGTAATCCTATCAGGCTCCATTCTAGGCACTAAGGATACAATTAGCAAGCTCAAGTGACCGGAGACTGACTCTCAGCATTTCCAGGTGACTTTGGTGTGTGCATATGAACGTTTGTGTGTTCGTGTGTGCAAAGCCTTCTGTCGGCAAGGGCCTGCTGCTGGGGCACCTGTCTTCCCTGGGGCCTGGTGCTTTTAGCATCTGTCCCTGGATCCTGTTGCAGCCCGAAATAAGGCTGTGAGCCACAACAAGGCAGGAACAATTCGTCAGCTGAAGCCAGAGCTGGCTGCAGGGCACACTCAGCTCTCTGACTGCCCAACGGCTGCACAGACACTGACCACCCAACTCTCAGCTCCTCGACAGAGGTGTTAATCTTGAGGGTCTGATATTCTCTCTGCCCACGGTGGTCCCAGCGCACAGGTACCAGGATCCTAGGGGAATTTGAGGAGCTGTGGGGAGTGGGTGGAGGAGATGAGCCAATTCCCAGAGCCCCTTCCTGTCCAAGAAGGGGAAGGGACTGCAGAGTCTGGGGAGTGTGGGGCCTTGTTGAAGCCTGAATCCTGAGTTGGGAAGGGAGGGATTCTAAGCCTAGGTTACTCTAGGTTAAATGGGGAAGGGGTGGCTAGGATTCATGGTGGGGGTTAGCTAATGGCTCTGCTCAGGATTCCAAGATTTTTAGGGAGTAGAGGGAAGTAGGGTGCCTGTCTGGAAAATGAGGGGCCCTTCCCAATGTATGTGAATTTCTGAAAAGGGGGGTGATGATTGAGAAACAGGTCTGCGGACTGTGGAGTCCTTAGGGGTCACAGCCGGAGCTCTCTCAATCATCTCATGACCCTCACCCAAATGCGTGCAGACGTGCTCATGTTTGAATCATTTTAGGGGGCTCACGGATGCTTTTGAAGCCCATCCATGGATCCCCATGATCTAGCCCAACCCTTTATGTTACAGAGGGGGAAACTGAGTCACAGAGCTGGAAAGCAACTTGCTCACAGTTATAGAGGGAGTCAGAGACACTGATTAGCTGCCAAGCTACCCAGCTCAGTGCCCACTGACCTAGGCTGGGAGTGAGTGTGGGGGTACAGACGGTAGGAAGGAATATAGGAAAATCTGGAAAAAAGCAGAGGTGTGTAACAGGGGTGTGTAATCTGTTGGGGGTTCAAAGGATCTGCCTCCTCTTTTGGGGGGCAAGTTTGGGGATTTGGACTTGGGGCCTGCAGGGGTTTGGGGGAGGTTCTGAACCTCATTTTATTTGCAAATTTCCTAGAAAGTGTCATGAGATACAAATGGGGGGGGGGTGGAGGAGGAGAAAGAGAAGGGTGAGAAAGAAGAGAGCACCATGGGGTACTAGACTTATTGGGGTGATCACTTTGTAAGTTGTATAACTATCTAATCACTATGCCATACACCTAAAACTAATATAATTTTGTGTGTCAACTGTAATTTTAAAATAAAAACATTATTAAAATAAAAGGGAGCATCATGAAAGTCAGTTCTGGGGTGAGGGTATAGGAGGGGATGATGGTTTTCTCAGCTTCCTTGGACCAGCCTGTGCCCTCAAGTCTTAGGGCCAAGTACTAGGGAAAGGAAGGGAGGGCCAGCCTTGCAGACCCCAGTGTCACCCATGCCTATCCACCTATACCCCTTCTCCCCCTGATGTAAACCTCCAACTTCTTTCAGCCACTGATCAGAGCTCACCTACATCAGTGGATGAAAATAGTTTGAGACCCCCACCTCCCACCCGTAATGTCCCAGAGTTTACCCCCTAAAGAGAGAGTGCTTCTCTAGCTGCATGGAAGCACTGAGCATCTCCCTCACCCTCCCTGGACTCAGCCTCCTCCTCTGTATGTAGAGACCCCAAAGGCCCACCCAGCTCAGACAGCCCTTGCTTGAGACCTTGGGGTGGGCTGGAGTTGAGTGGGCCAGGGACTTGAAGGAGGCCTGGGAGGGCAATGGAGGCGGCCTGGCCCATTTGTGGATCATCTCATCTACAGGATGATCCCCAAGGAGCAGAAGGAGCCAGTGATGGCTGCCATGGGGGACCAAGCTGGACCAGGTAAGGTGGACCCAGCCTTTGTGCATTCCTCAGACCCCATCCTTTTTTGGTCCCAGATTGCAGTCACTCAGGTCTGCTGGCCCCAGGCCTACAAAAACAGGTGTGAGTTCCAGGCCAGCCCCAAGGGAGTGCCTGTGGAATCTGCTACCTGGGCTGGAAGCTCCCCAAAGCATTGGGAAGGGCATTGCCCTGCTGTCCTCACACCCAGAAGCTGCAGTTGCGTGCCCTAGACCAAGCCTGGCCCCAGCTAAGTCCTTGCCTCAGTCTCAAATGGAACTGGGCGGGCTCTGATCCCAGATCCAGCCTTAACTGCAGACCCAAGCTCCCCACACGCTTGTCCTTGCTTGTTGAAACTGCGTCTCACCGAGTCCCCACGGCAAGAGACAGGGGTTGGGGGGAAAGTGGGCAGGTGGCAAGAACAGGCTACCCCAGTTGGACTCAAACCATTTCATTTAAAAACCGACTCATCCTAATGCATAAATCATCTAAAATACACATTTATCAACTTTATAAGACCTCTCAGAACTCTTGGCATAATTTTGGAGTCTATTTACTTGGCCTACTTTAGAGCATTTCAAGAATTTAAAAAAAGCAAATTCAACTAAGTCAGGCCTCTCAAACTTTCATGTCAATAACAGTGACATGGTGTTGGTTAAAATGCAGATTGCCAGCATCCACCCCAGGGGTTCTGACTCAGTGGACCTGGGGAGGGGGCCATGCATTGCCTTTTAGACCAGCACCTGGGTTATTCCGACACAGATGGACAGTGAGCCGAGCTCTGATAAACCCTAAGTTCACTGCTAGGTTTTGCCTAAGAAGTACTTAAGCATATGTGAGTCGTCCTCTTAACCTGTTTTATGTGTTCTTGCCTCCTTTTGTGGGAGTCAAGTTTTTTCTTTTATTCCATGATTTCATGTGCTGAAACACACAACTTTGTGAAGTGTTGGTTGGTGCTCTAACCAGAAGAATAGGGCTATGCATTCTCTCTTCTAAGCAATTAATTTGATCCCAAAATATTGGCACACATCATTTATGCCAGACTGGAAATATGTAAAATGTTGACTATTGCTATGTTATTACTTAAAGACAATTTTGAAACTAAAGAAAAATATAAAGTAAAAAAAACAAAACAAAAACTACCTCATGGTTTTGCTACCAAAAGACACCCATTGCAGAGTAAGAATAATGAAAATACCATTACTGTGTGCTTACCATGTGTCAGATACTGTGCTAAGAGCTTTGATGCTTTATGTTACATGACCTCCACAACAACTCTGTCAATTAGACATTATTATCACCATTTAGCAGATGAGAAACTGAGGCCCAGAGGAGATAGGTGGTCACACATCCTGGTAGGTGATATAACCGAGATTTCACTCCAAATCTGCTTCTTTACTATATGGTTATACAAATAACACATCTATACATATAAAAGCCTAAGCGACCAGCCAACCGGCTGGTAGCTATGACACACACTGACTACCAGGAGCTGCTGAGCTGCGGTGACTTGGCAGCTGTGGTTCTCGGGTGATGCACCGGAACCAGAGAGGAGGGAGCCCGATTCTGGGCTGTGTCACCCGAGAACCACCTCTCGCAATCTGGGACCCCTCAGGGGATGTGAGGGAGCCAGTTTTGGCCCAATCCCCACAGGCCAGGCCGAGGGACCCCACTGGTGCACACATCCATGCACTGGGCCTCTAGTCATTTTAGAAAATATTCAGACAAAACAGACATGAAGGACTTTGAAAGTGAAAGTTCCTTCTAGTAGAACCATCTGGAGATAACCAATGTTCTAGTATTTGTGTCAATCCTTTTTCTGTTCATATATAAACATATTTATATAAATGCAAATACACACGTGTGGTCTAAAGACTATACACTGTGTTCTTCAACTTAAATTTCTTTTCACTTAGCAGCATACCACAGACTCCTTTCCATCCTCACCACCTCCCCCTGCTTCCCTAGCATGTCATATGTTATATATATTTATATTCATACAAACCTTCAAATGGTGTCATGAAGGCTCGTCTCAGGGTGGAACCCTTAGGAGCAGAGCCTGAGGATTCTTGAGCAAGTGACTTATTGAGGTTGCACTCTCAGGAGAAGGGAAGTGAAGTAGGACAGACAGGGCAGGGGAAATTGCTGAGCAAGGATGTGGGCTCAGCTGTAGCTCAGATTCAGTCTGACCCTGGGGGTGCCACAGAATTCATCCCATCTTCAGCAAGGATCATGACCCCTTCTGTTCACTTGGGCAGTTCTTTGCAGAAGGTGGCAGTTGTGGGCTGTCAACCACTGATAAAGGGCACCTTGGCAGCATCCACCACAGACTGATCCCAGGTTTCGTAATTTGAAACCTCACTGTAATAAACCTTCTTGTACTTATATCTTCGGCATATTTATTCCATTTTTCTCCCCAAGAATGAATGCCAGAATTGCTTAGTGAAATGGGTTTTGTCTATAGCTTTTTTTCTTTTCTTTTTTTAAAAAAATATTAAGCTCTGTTTGTCTGCATAATATTTGAGAATATAATGCCAGGAGACTTTTTGTTATGTATTTGTTTTTTATGTTTTTGTTTCTTTCTCTTTTTTTGTATTTTTAAGTGTGCAGTACATTTTCTTGTTTTAAAAAAATAACAGTGCAAACAATTACAGTTTCTAGCCCTCCATCTTTTTATGTCCCATAAGTCATCACTGCTAATATTAGACATGGTCCTTGCAGATTTTTCAATGCATGTATGAACATATATTTATTTTTTTAAATATACAAGTGGGACCTTAGAATATAGATTTTTTTGAAACGTACTTTTCCCCCTTCTAACCTACAGCAGATTTCTTTATGCCCCTAACATGTAGAAGGTCCTCTCTCTATATCTGCTGAAAGAATGAAAAAAACATCAACCCTAACCGGTTTGGCTCAGAGGATAGAGCATCGGCCTGTGGACTCAAGGGTCCCAGGTTCGATTCCAGTCAAGGGCATGTACCTTGGTTGCGGGCACATCCCCAGTGGGGAGTGTGCAGGAGGCAGCTGATCGATGTTTCTCTCTCATTGATGTTTCTAACTCTCTATCCCTCTCCCTTCCTCTCTGTAAAAAAACAATAAAATATATTTTAAAAAAAAATGTTCATCTGTGAGATTCCGGTTACTGCCACAGTGCGATGTTTCTAATCTATCCCTCTCCCTTCCTCTCTGTAAAAAATCAATAAAAAAATATATTAAAAAAAGAAAAAGAAAAAAACATCAACCTCCTTTTTTAAAAGGCTCTGTAGGAATCCACTGAATGGAATGAGTCACAGCCCCTGACTGGCCTCAGTGCTGCCTGGTGACCATGTCCATCTCCCCGGCCTGTTCACCCACCCATGCTACTCTCAGAAAACTTTGGCAACCTCTCTCCTCAACCCTCCAATGCCTCCTCCCCCATCTTCATTCTCAGTTAATGACCTTATTTCACTGAGAAAAGTGAAGTCACCAGAAGAGAACATCTGCAAGCTGCCCCCTCCACAGCTGTCCATTGCTTGGCCTTATGTCCATGTTCTCAGTTTTCCTTCCTGATGTGGTAGATGAACTCTCCTTGCCAGTCTGAAGCCAATCCTTCTAGTTGGGCACTGGATGCCCTCCCTCCCTCTCTCTTACTCAAGGACAGATATTTCTTCAGTAATTCTCCACTCTCTCTATTGCACTGTCAAATTTTCCCATCAGCTAACAAACATGCTGTTATTTCTCCCTCTTTAGAAACAAACAAATAAACAAGCAACCCCTCCTGATTGCACAGCTGCCTTCAGCCAAGGTCTAGAGCAGTGGTCGCCAACCGGTGGTCCGTGAGGTCGGAAGGGTTGGAGACCGCTGGTCTAGAGCACAGCTCCTCAAAGCAGTTGTCTCTACTTTCTTCCCCTTCTCTTCTTCTAACATTTTACCAAGCCAATTTCCAAACACACGTAAAAGGAGAGTGCAAATCCCCATGGCCCTCCTTTCATTCCCGGAATCCAAAGCAAATCCCAAAGAGTATGTCATCTCATGCTCTAAATACTTCCGAATGCATAAAAATCATAAAAATGACTTCCTTACACACCACAAAGTTATCAGCACACAAAACAAAATTAGCAATACTAATAACCAGTCTCAGTCAACTTTCTCCAATCTTCTACTTTGTTATAATGAGGATTCAAATAAGGGCCATTGTTTCTATTTGGTTGCTATGTCCCTAAAATCTCCTTTAATCTAAAACAACCCCCACTTATTTTTCCCATGTCACTCACTCTTTTGAAGAAACCAGGCCAGTTGCCCTGTAGAATGTTCCACGTCCTAGATTTGGCTCATTGCTTCCTCGTGGTGTGGCCCAACGGTTCCTCTGTCCATTTTCTCTTGAACCCTCTCCAATAAGGCTTTGACACCCAATACTTCCCAGCAACTGCTTCTGTGAAGATCACCAATAGTAACGGCACATTACTAAATATCATTATCAATTTAGCCCTCATCTTACTTGACACATCAGCAGCATCTGAGTCTGTTGATCAGCTCATCTTCCTTGAAATGCTTTAATCATTTGGTTTCCAGGACACCATGCTCTAGATTTCCTCCTGCCTCACTGGGTGCTCCTCCCGGGCTCCAGGGCTGTGTCATTCCGCCATCTAAATGTTGGAGCCCCAGGCTATAAACTGGCTATTGTCTCAACTATAAGAGGAGAAATAAGTGTGATGTTCTTCATTGAAAACATCACACTTATTTCTCTTCTTATGCCCCAATCTTTATCTCAGGTCAGTTACCTCCCATGAACTCGAGTCTCTCCACATGGACACATACAAGTCTCTTTAAACCTTATATGCCCAATTTTGAAGAAATTAGGGGGCCTTAAATATGTAGTAAGCATTATATAAAACAGAAATTTGCTCACTTGGAAAGGTGGAGATCTTAAACTGAATTCCCAACTCTCCCCACAGTTTCTCCTCCTCCAGACCTTCCACATCTCAGGGAGTGGCCGCTCCAACCTTCCAGTGACTCGGGCCAGAAAGCCTGCTGTCGCCCTCCACTCTACCCTCTCTCTTTCGTATCCCTTACCCAGGGCTTACCTTTAAAGATATCGACGACCTGGCCATTTCTCACTACCTCCACCGCTGTGGGCAAAGAGCTGCACAGGAAATCCATGGAATAAGTAAATACAAATGGCTAAAGGACATCTGAAACGATGCTCATTTCACTGTTAAACACATGCAAATTAAACTCTGAGGTGTCATCTCTGCCCACCAGGTGGACAGAGTCCACTGAATGATGGCACTCAGCGTTGGCAAGTGTGGGGAGAAGCCGGCATTCTCACACACCACGGACAGTGCCATGAGGAGATATCCTTAGAAGTGTCTCTGAGTGGCCTGGCCTCTCCCTGCAGTCCCTTTGCTGGACCTGGGCAAGAAGCTGAGCATGCCCCAGGACTTAATGATGGAGGAGCTATCGCTACGCAACAACCGAGGATCCCTCCTCTTCCAGAAGAGACAGCGCCGTGTGCAGAAATTCACCTTTGAGCTTGCTGCCAGCCAGCGGGAGGTAAGACGCCATTGTGCTCATAGGGAAACTGAGGCCCAGAGAGGCCAGCGGTTTGCCTAAAACCAAATAGCCAGGTGAGGACCTCTGGCACCTGGGCAGTCCCTCAAGCTCCAGCTAGAGAGGGCTGTGATATTCCCATCAGACTGACCCCCTGGCCTTGCTGTGTGAACCTAGAAGTTTTGTCTTCAATGCACATCTCTCTCCCAAGACAAAATATAACATGGAGTGGGCAGGGGGAGCTGCAGAGTGAAGGGGCTCCAGCTCCTACCAATAGTGCTGAAAAATAGTCATGTGTGCTGGGCTGAATTTGCAGCAAGCTAAATTAGATTCGACCTGATCTAAGATGGAAAACACAGAATGCCCCTTTCTCTGCTTCCCACTGGAAGAAGGACAAGACCGCAGACCAGTCAGCTGGTAGGGAACGGAGGCAAGGATGCTTATCCTCAGGCTTCAAAAAGGCAGCAGGCAGTTTCGGCCACCCTAATGAACGCAGGGGCATCTCATCCGTACTCCACCCAATTTCTGGATAAGACAGGAGGCAACTGAGTTTTATGGCAGAATAATGAAGATAACAAACACTTACCTTTGCTATGTATCTAAGGTAGCTAAGAACTTAAATGTTATCAGCTCATTTTTCGCTCAAAAAGTGAGATTATCATCATCTCCATTTCACAGAGAGGGAAACTGAGTTCAGGGAGGTTATTTGCCCAGGGTTAATATTATAGTAGCAACTATATACAAAGTATCTCTCTGTCCTGGGCACTGGGTTTAGGGCACTGCACAATTCACTCATAACACGCCCCCCAACATCTCCAGGAGGTAGGTGCTAGGATTATGTGCCCCTCTTTTTTGTGGAGGGTGATCCCTGGCCCCTTGCCTACCCCACTCCCAGACGGTGGCTGGAAGAGCACCTAGGGGACGGTGACTTGGAACAGCAGAACCAGGGACAGTGAGTGTGGAGGGAGACCCCACAAGAGGGACGCTGGGTGATGGGGTCTGGCAATATCAAGGCTATCCATTTCCCAGGTTGCCAACAGCCTGGAGTTGCAGAACTGCCACTCAGAGCTCCACATCTTCCCAGCCGGGGACCCTGAGGATGCCCAGCCTGAAGCTTCCCAGGTGAAGCGCGCCCCTAGCCCCAGCGCCCTGGCACCAGGTGAGTGGCCTCCCCAATCTGGACCAAAGAGGAAGGGCAGGGTTATGGGGTAGGAATCAGAGTGTGGGCACGCTGCTCCACAGTGGGGCAGGAAGAGAGCCCAGAGCATCTAGTCCACCCCCTTCCCTATCCGAACACACCCCCCCCTCCATGGACCTAACCCAAGAGGAGCAGCAACGCACCCCAGATCACACAGCAAGTCAAGATTAGAAGCTGAACCTCAACTGGTAATTCCCCTACTCCAATCCTCCTTGTTCCCAGAGATGGGGAAGGTTACCTTTTGAGGGAATAACTTTTGGCATCACCCTCCCTGCCACACCCCATATACACTCCCTTTTCCCACCTTCAGTCTTCCCTCCCCCAACCCCTTTCTGAGGTGGGTATGGGTGTTTGGGGGCCCAGGGAGAAAGGAACCCGAATGCCGTGCTCACCTCCAGGCTATGCCGAGCCACTCAAGAGCATCCCGCCAGAGAAGTTCAACCACACGGTCATCCCCAAGGGCTACCACTGCCCGTGGCAGGAGTTTGTCAGCTACCGGGACTACCAGAGCAATGGCCGAAGTCAAACTCCCAGCCCTGCACAGTATCGGAATTTCAACAAGTAAGGCAGGGTGGGCAGCTTGGGGAGAGAGCGGGAGGGTGCACAGGTGCCAATCATAACCACAGCAGTAGCTGAATTTCCTGAGCACTTTCTACATGCCAGGCTGTATCTGAACACGTTATAAACATTTATTGAGCTCTTGGCCTCAGCACATAGTAGGTCCTCAATAAATGTACAGGGACTGTGCCACACCTCTCATTGGATCCTCCCCACAACAGGGTGAGGCTGGTGCTACAGTTTTCCCTATTCTGCCTGTGAAGAGACCTGTTTAGAAATATCAGCAACCTGCCCAAAGTCCCAAAACAAGAACGTGCAGGGCAGGGCTGGGGTCCAAGTCTGGGCTGTCTCCAGAGCTTGGTTTCTTGTTCTCCATCACTACTGTGTGCCCCCTCTTTGATGCTCATAGAGGTATGCGTCCTTCCCGGGTGGGACCCCCAGATCTCACCCGTCCTAGATAGCGCAGCCTGTTCCTCATTTTCATCAATGCCTAGGAAGTGGCTTTGAGGCTGCACCAAAGCAGGGAGTAGCAGTGAGACGAATACTGGAGATGAGGGTCACAGAGGAGTGGTTTATACTGTTTACAGCATGGGGCCTCAACGTGGGCTTAAATGCAGATTCCTAACCTGACTGTGTGACCTTGGGAAAGTGACTTAACCTCTGAGCCTCCATTTCCCTATCTGTAAAATGAGACTATTATTGTACCTACTTCATAAGATTGTTGTGAGGATCACATAAGAAGCCATAGCCAAAGTTTCTGGCAAGCAATAAGCTCTCAATAAACAAGAGCTGCTATTATTATCATTATTATTTACAGGTTGAAATGATAGTTGGAAAAGCTAATGGGGAATAAAAGGATATATTTAACATTCTGCCCTGAGGGCTCAGAAACAAATCGTAGGGATCAAGACAGGAGCTTGGCACTGGAGGAAGACCTTGGGCTGGGGGATAGATTTCAATTGCAATTGGCTTCCTCAGACTGATGCTATTTCTGAAAAATGCTCCTCTGGCTTGGACCACAGTAAGTGTGAAAGTGGAGGGTCCGTGGAGAGGAGGCCACAGTCCAGCTCTTCTGGCATCTGCTCAGACCACACGTGGAGACTATGTCTGTCTGACAAAAATTGATGGGTGGCGCCAGGGCCTGGAGACCAGGCCCCCTGAGGAAGAGCTGAAGGAAATGGGGGTGATGAGCTTTGAGAGAAGACTGCTGAGGCGGCATGTGACTGCCCTCTAAGTCAGGGAGGGCCTTGATGGAAAGAATTATACCCAACGGGTGTTGTGTGAGCCATGAGCCATTGGCAGATGTTCTGGGGTCTCTCGCCAGCCAGGCCTGTGCTCTCTCACCTCCTGGGGCCGTCAGACCCTGCCTGCCCAGCTATTTAAAACCCTCAGCAGACATTCAGTCCTGACAGCCAGCTTCCAGGCTGGCCAGCTCAGGTTGCAGCCCCATCCATCTAAACCTCAGGTATGACAGACAGGCACATTCTCATCAGCAGAAGGGTCTTAGGGAGCCCTGAACCTAGATCCTTCTGGGGCAGAAGGGCCAACTGAGGCAGACTGAGGAGGAACAGCAGTGTTGGTGGCCAAGCTGTGCTCAGGAGCCAGGTCTCTGGGCTCCTAGTCAAGAGTCCAATTGTGAGGCTTGCATTGGCTTGGAAACATCCCAGCCTGTCCCTAGGGGGCCTGGCTGTTGCTGCCACAGCTGGGGTAGTCCAAGCAGAAACCCTGTCTCGGCTGGAACCCAGGCCCTGGCCCAAGTTTTGCCTTTCCACCCCAGGGGCAAGCACCCTCCTCTTCCCATTGGGCCCAGCTTGTGGAGAAAACAGCACATGATAAATGCTTTTTATTTCTCTTAAAATTAAAGAATAGTTTTAAAGTCACATACTTACATTCTCTTAAAAACAAACTATGCAACTACAAAAAGAAGGGTTTCTTTGTCCTCAATCCCAGTTTCCTTTCCAAAGGTAACATTGTTGTCAGGTTGGTGTGTAAGTTTTCAGAACATTTTCTAAGAGCAGCCACATACCTATAGGGGATATAGCATTGTTTTGTGTGTATACATGTGTTTTAATACTTTGCATCTTTTTGTAACTTGCTTGCTTTTTTCACTCAACATTACGCTTTTAAAATCTACCCTACTTTATATTGATCTTTTCATTCCTTTTGAGCTACTGTATAATATTCCATCATGTGACTACACTACTTCTGTTGTGTCCATTCCTCTGCCAATGGACCCTGGGTTGTTTCTGGCTTGTCACTAATCCCTGCTCGTATCTGCTTCCTTGTGCGTATGTGCATGTGCTTCCCGAAGCCATATGCTTACAGGTAGAGTTGCTGGATGGCAGAATTTGCATATTTTCAGATTAAAATGATCCTGCTAAACTATCCTCCAAGGGAGCGGCACCAGTGTGCCCTCCAAACAGTAGTATATGAGTGAAGCTCTGCCCCGTTATCCAATCATTTCTTCTTGCCAGTCTTATGGTTAGAAATGCAGGTCTGTTGTAATCTGCACTTCCCTGATTCTCAATGCTCTTTCTCGTCCTCCCCTTTTACTTCAGTTTGTGGCATGTTTCTCTGAGGGGAGATGAAAAGACAAAGGAAACACCCTGTTCCAACTCTGCTGCCTTCTGGAGCTTGCTTATGGAGAACCTAGAGTTCTGCTTAGGACAAGCCAATCCCAACTCTGAAAACTTGGCTCCAATTTCTAAGCAACAAGCCATCCCAAACCTTGCTGTACAGAAGGGAAAACTGAGTCCCGGAGAGAGGCAGGGAGAGGCCCCACCTAGACCCGCATGTCAGTGTGCTGCCATCTTGTTCCTTCCCAGCCCACCTCTCCTGCTGCTCTTCTTCCCCTAGGACCCCCGTGCCGTTTGGAGGACCCCTGGTGGGGGAGACCACGTCCAGGACAGGCACCCCCTTCCTCCCAGAGCTCACCAGTGGCTTGGAACTTCTCCGCCTCAGACCCAACTTCAACAGAGTGGCCCAGGGCTGGGTCCGAAACCTCCCAGAGTCTGAGGACCTGTAGCCCCAGCCTTCAGTCCCCGGTCTCAGAGTTTGGGGAATACCAGGAGCCAAGATTTGTGGACTGCACTTCACAGTTTACAAAGGGCCTTCACACACAAAACCTATTGCAAATGGCCTCAAAGGTCACAAAGTTCGGTAGTTCACAGATAATGGGGTTTAGAAAGTTTTTCCTTTTACTGAGATGCAGTTGTCTTTATTCATGCTCTAACATTTACTAAGCACCTACTATGTGCTAGACATTGTGACAGTTCCATGCAGAGGAGTCTGGTCCCTGACCTAGAGTAGGAAAAGATAGTAGGGAAGACAGATTTATAAAGCAGTAAATTATCTTAATTTTTCCTAAAGCACCTGAAAAACAAAATGTAGTGAGGCAGGGGAGGGCATCTTGAACCCTGGGTGTGTGTGTGGGTGGGGGCTAGGGGGATCAATTCCAGGGGATTTGAACAGGACTTCAGAGGAGGAGTAAGAGTCGATTAAGGGGAGAGGGTGTGCTCCAGGGGAGGCACTCTTGGCCAGTGGACCAGGGTAAGCTGGAAAGGTGGAGAACTGCCATAGGGCAGGGTGTTCCGGAGCAGGGAGAGCCTGTGTTTAAGCAGTTGGTGACTCCGTGGAACAGTGGTCGCCAACCGGTGGTCTGTGGACCACTGGTGGTTTGCGAGGTCCAAAAGGTTGGTGACTGCTGGTTTAAGGAAACCTTTGGAACAGCGTCACCAACCGATGGTCCGTGAGGTCCGAAAGGTTGGTGACCGCTGCCTTAGAAGGCCAGGTTGGGGTAAGCTGCAGTAAGAAAATGGGGAAGGTTCTTAAGCTGGGGAGTCAGGGATCTCAGTGGTTGTTATGTGGGCACAGATTGGAGTCAGGAAGCCTTCCAGGAGCAAGGCCTGAACTAGGGAGGTGGCCACGGGGATGGGAAGAAGGGACACCTCCCTGGGCACCTTGCAGGACAGGTGCAAAGTGGAGAACCTGTAAAGACTCCTTCCCACCTCCTTCTACTCACCACTCTGAGCAGGCCTTGGGTAGATCTTGCCTAGTTTCCTATAGGAGTCATTCAGGGCTCTACTCTGGCTCACTAGGAAGAGGAGAGAAAGGAATGCCTTAGTTCAAGTGGTAATGAGGATGTGGTGATGATGATGGCGGCTTTTTATTGGATGCCTCAGTGCTTCAGCTGCTAGGAGGTTCTCTATACATCCAATTTCTAAAATTCAGTACAACCCTAAAAAAAAGTATTGTCCCATTTTACAGATGTGAATATCCAGGCTCAAAAGGAGAAAAGGGCTTGTCCAGGGACAGAGCCAAAATAGATACTGTCCTATTCCAGTGGATGTCTTTTTGTACTGGGTGGCCAACCCATTGCCCGCTCACTCTGGAATCACCTCTTAATAGTGCCCTGCCTTAGAGTTTAGAGGTTAAGAGTGCAGGCTGGGAAGTCAGACTGAATGGGATGGTTCTAATTGCCACTTCCAGCCATTTCTCCCCTGTGGGCCTCTGTTTCTCACCTGTAAGAATAGTAGCCCCTGTAAGGGGTTGTTGCGAGCACAATGATGGACACATACATAATGAGCACTAGATCATTAGACTTCATGCAACTACTGCTCTGAACTGAAGAGATGATCTTGCAGTGGATGCAGCTTGAGAAGCAGGCCTAGGATGAGACCGGAGATCAGTAGAGCTGAAGCCTGAAGGGAAGGAAGCCTCTGATCACTGCAGGCTCCATTGGCCCATGAATCATCTCTTCCCCTTGCTTCCACCCGCCTCTTCCCCAACCCCATTTCTCTTGAGGAGATGAGAAGGCCAGGAATCCATCTGGTTCCCAGGGCATGTGGGATAGCGGTTACCTTTACCTTCTGCTCTGGACTTTCCCTGTGTCCCACACAGTCTCAAGGGGCAGCAGCCTGACTCCTAGAATTGTTTGCAATCAATGTGTCTTGAATTTGGGCACTGCTGTTTAAAGCCATGTTTCCATGCGCTGAAAACCAACCATTAAAGTGTCCTAAACAAAGAAGAGCATTACGACCACCTTAGGTTGGCTCTGCCATGCTCTGGAGGGTAATGGCAGCCACCACAGCACAGCTGACAAGAGCCTGATGGGGAGCCTGCTACACCCAAAGCAAATCCTCATTCCTTTCTTCTTTCGATAATATGACTTTCACTGATGTTGTTTAAAAAAAAAGAAAGAATTCTTACTGTAAAGATTTATATACAAACAAATAAAGGAAAAAGTAAAATGTGAAGGTATCTGCCCACATAGCTCCTCCCCTACAACACAGACCTTCCCGCCCTCCTGCACTCTGCCCCATTCCCACATACCATAGGTAACCACTGGTAGCAGCTTGGTGCTTCTAGAATTCTAGGATTATTTGAAGAGATAAATATGTACAGTGTATAGCTGCGTAAGTGCAAAGACATGTTTTTGTTTTCATGGGATCATACTGTATTATATTGTATTTTGCTTCTTTATTCAACAATAAGTAAAATGTGGATCCTGAAAAAGTCATGTCATTAACCTTTCATCTAATTTAAGGGCCCAAAACCCTTCATATAAAACTCTATACTTTTGCCTGTTTTGTTCTTTATGTAAATGAAATCATAGTGATATGGAAATGAAAAGGACCGAGAACAGCCAAAGCATTGGGAACCTGACATTAGACATAGCAGCCCTGAACATGAATGAACTACAGTTCCATGCAGCAATACAGAGACATCTCAGAAACAAAGTGGTAAGCAAAGGGAGACAGGTCCATATGCATATGTTTAGTGATGTAAGGCAGTGTTAAATAAAGTCAGGGTAGTGGTAACTTTGGGGGAAAGAAAGGGTTGTGCTTGTGAGAGGACAAACTTCTGGGAGAGCTGGACATTTTCTATTTCTATGATTGTGACACAGACATTGACTTTAACATACTTAATTTAGTTGTAAATTTGTGTTTTATGCACTTTTCTGTACATGTTATATTTTACTAAAATAATCCCTCCTTTTAAAAAAGTTAATAGATTAGTAGCAGATTAGATGAACATGAAGAATTCGTGAACTAAAATCAGCATTAAATATACTTGAAGAATTTGCAAACCCCCACAATGGGATGAAATGGACAAATTCTTAGAAAAATACAATCTCCCAAATCAAATCAGGAAGAATCAGAAAACCTGAATAGGCCAATAACAACTGATAAAATAGAAGCAGTAATCAAAAAAGTCCCAGCAAACAAAAGCCCTGATCTGGATGCATTCACAGAGGAGTTTTACTAAACATTCAAAGAAGAACTAACACCTATCCTCCTCAAACTATTCCAAAAAATCCAAGAGGGGGGAACATTTCCAAGCTTTTTATGAAGCCAGCATTATCCTACTTTCAAAACCAGATAAAAACACTACATAAAGAAAGAGAATTACAGGCCAATATCCCTGATGAATATAGATGCTAAAATCCTCAACAAAATATTAGCAAACTGGATCCAGCAATATATTAAAAAGATCATACACCAGGACCAAAGGGGATTTATTCTAGGATGCAAGGCTGGTACAATATTCGAAAATCAATGAACGTGATACATCACATGAACAAATTGAAAGACAAAAATCACATGATCATATCAATAGATGCAGAAAAAGCATTTGACAAAATCCAACACCCATTTTTGATAAAAACGCTCAGCAAAGTGGGAATAGAGGGAGCATATCTCATCATAATAAAGGCCATATATGACAAAACTACAGCCAACATCATACTCAATGGGCAAAAACTAAAACCATTTCCCCTAAGAACAAGAACAAGACAGGGATGTCTGCTTCACCACCCTTATTCAACATAGTACTAGAAGTTCTAGCCACAACGATCAGGTAAGAAGAAGAAATAAAAGGCATCCAAATTGGAAAGGAGGAAGTAAAACTCTCATTATTCGCCAATGACATGATATTGTATATTGAAAACCCCAAAGACTCCACCAAAAAACTACTAGATTTAAGAAATGGCCGAAACCAGTTTGGCTCAGTGGATAGAGCGTCGGCCTGCGGACTGAAAGGTCCCAGGTTCGATTCCGGTCAAGGGCATGTAC